TCGCCTCCACTCTCTGGGCACCTTTCCTGGTCTGCTGTCAAAGTGAATATTCTGTGGTACCTGTTACTCATCTAACAGTGATGGCTCCATCTTCTTCCACCAGGTACCATGCTCAGGAATATTATAACAAGCTTCCTGAATTGAAGCAAGCTATGGATCAGATCAAAAGTGGTTTCTTTTCACCACAACAACCTGATCTGTTCAAAGATTTGGTCAACATGTTGTTCCACCATGACCGGTGAGTAAAGATGCCTTACAGATTTGTTTTTTAAATGACCATATGTCCCCTTATCACTTGTCAGACAAACATTTGAGTCCTGTTAAGGTCGGTTAAAATTAAGGTCAGTTTTCTTTGGTCTACTATGTAATTTAAAAGCACCAAGAATCTTGAATCCATTATGAAGTTCTTCCCTTAAATTATTTTGTCATGCCAATGAAATTCAGGTTGGAATTGCAGGATAGTGGTATATGCATATAATCACAGTTTTAATGTTTGGGATCACCAATGGTTAAAGAAAATGTGTTACTCCCCACCCAAGTGGAGACTTGTCAAAAGATTTTTGCAGTATCCTCTATTCTTGGACAAGGTTTTGGACTACATTAAGATTAAATGCCAGTAGACTAATTCTAAATTTTGGGAACATACTTTTGGCTTGCTCACAAATTAAATGATATGGAGGTGATTTGTTATCATAGAGTACCCAATTATCAGAAACAGACTGGTGTGGTTGTTGCCCATCATTCTCCCGTGCCTTCATGGATGCTTATTACAAGATATGTTAAAATTTATTGTTCTGGATCCTTCTGGAATACAGTGTTTATTTCTATTCTGATTTAACAATCCTATGTATGGTCTGGTAGTTTCCCAGAAGCTAATCCTCTGAACAAAAAATAATTTGTAGTGTTCTAAAGATGGTTTTTGGAATAATGAATTCAAGACCATTCAAGACTAACCAATGGTCTAGATCTAGAAATCTAAAACTCAGATTGCCTTTAAAACATTTCACACATTTTGGTTTTCTTTTGGATAGATTTAAAGTGTTTGCAGATTATGAAGCTTATGTCAAGTGCCAAGACAGTGTCAGTCAACTCTACATGGTAAGCTGGGTGTGGAGAAATTTCTGTGTTATAAACTAATGACCTGTTACTAATTAATTTGTGTCCAAATCCATTATGTTTACAGTGTTTACTGTATAAGCATCTGAATGAATGATCAAAGTGCAAATCTCCAGTGTTCTGTCCTGTGTGTCTCTGACTGGACAAATTAACCACCTTTTCTACAATGAATTTGTACAACACACATACCCAGTTAAATTAACCATGTTTACTGGACCAAATTTTCTGAATTTGCATGACATACTGGGCTAACCACTAACTGAAATTGATGGATTAACAAACACTAGAGTAAAAGTTATTTGTGTATCAGGCCAAGCTACTCAGAACTTTACTTTTTTGAATGCCTTACACATGCATCTGCTTAGTAAGTTTGCTGGAGGTGATAGATTTTATTCACTACAGTGACTAAATTTATGTGCTTCTAAGTCTTTCTATAATTCTATTGCTCTATAATTAGTGACCAGGATTCTACAAATGAACAAATAACTAAAATAATTAAGCAGCTTTTACAGCCCAGAGAGTGCTGTAAAGCGCTATGAGGCAGTATGTAAGCATAAAATGCTAATGCTATTTTACTTAAAATTATAGCTAGGTCATTAAGATGATCAGAGTATGTCTAATTTTAAAAACAGTAGCACACTATATAATACATTCAAGGAAATGAAAGCATTACTGACCTGATAAAAGCAACTGTGCATAAAATAAATCAATTGTTTGGGTACTTCACTAGATAGGAATTATAAAATGGGCCCTTAAGTCTTTTTAGGAAGGTGCAGTATAACAAGACATGTGGAATGTAGTTCAGAGTCGCAGGAAGGAAGGGCTGTGTTCCCAGGGAACAAAGAGATCACATAGCTTGAAATCTTTAGTATGAAAGGAAAAGATGGAAGGCGGATGTCGCTCCCCCCCCCCGCTCCACCCCCCATCAGTGGTGCACAGGGTGTATCTAATTGTTATATAGATAAATGCTTTAGTTTTTGGCAAGATATCTGTCTGTAAGCAAACAATAAAATACTCCAATTGTCCTTGGTTCCTTGGGCCTGGTAGGACATGAGCTATGGATTTGATAGCTTCTTCTCCACAAGAGTATAATCTTAGCTCATAAGGGATGGTTTTGTATTTGCTGCCAAGAACAGTTTTTGGGAGGACATTGGAATATCCTAATGTTTGTACTCTTCAAAGTTATGCGATTTAAATATCTAGCTAACCTGCAAAAGGAGCATGACCGCTCAGGAATGTGTTCCTGGATAAAGGAGATCGATCCAGTTACAACATCTCCACAGTCAAATGATCGAAATGTGGATGATTGGCAACAGGCGTGTATTTATGATGGGTGCCATGTCCCGGGGTCATGGGATCAACTTTTGTGACCTTCTGACAAGCAAAGTCAATGGGGAAGCCAGTTTCACTTAACAAACGTGTGACTAACTTAACAAATGCAGTGATTCACTTAGCAACTGTGCCAAAAAGGTCATAAAATAAGGCAAAACTCACCTAACCACAGAAAGTTTGGGCTCAGTTGAGGTTGGAAGTTAAGGACTACCTGTACTAAACAGGTTAAATGTGCTCAACAAGCAACCAGTGGAGAAGGAAAGGCTGAAATACAGTATCTCTAAACCAGGGGTAGGCAACCTTGGCTCTTTTATGACTCGTGGACTTCCATGCTGGCTCAGGAATTCTGGGAGTTGAAGTCCATGAATCATAAAAGTGCCAAAGTTGCCTACCCCTGCTCTAAACCCACTAAGAGGGAAAAAAAAAGAACTGATAGATCTGTCAAAACCACAAAGAAGTTCCAAATGCTGTTACTGTTTAAGCAACCTATAATTTCAAGCATGTGGTTAAAATGATTCCCTTCTTGAGCAATTTCCTCAGTATTTCCAATACAGCTATTTTGTTCTGATAGTCCTTTGGCTTATGATCACAATTGAGCTCCAAATTTCTGTTGCTAAGTGAGGCAGTTGTTATGCGAGTCATGCCCCATTTTATGACCTTTTTGTCATGGTTATGAAGTGAATCATTACAGAGGTGAATGAATCAGGCGGTCATTGAATATGGCTTCCCTCGTGGTCTTCGCTTGTCAGAAGCTCCTAAGGACTAAAGCATTAAAATCATTCATAAAATAGTTAACTAATTTGCCAAATAAAACCCTAAAAGCTAAAATAATATGTTATATAATAAGACTGAACAGCTTCCCAACGAGCTCCTGTCCCGTCAACTTCCTCCTGCCAACACTCTATAGATATGTGGGTTTTCAGCACTGAAATCCTTTTCTGCTCATCTCATCTCACTATAGACAACAGCTGCCTGTTCTGTGTTCTTTCATCTTGATACTCTCTTTACTGGCTTCAAGCCTTATAATACATCCTTCACCTCTCTTGGTCGAGCTCTTCTAATATATTGAATTAATTTCCTCCAACTAGGTTTGTCTTAGAAATGGAGTTGAACTGACTCCTGTAATTGTTTCCACCATGCACTTTGCCATCAGATTAGGATGGATGTTATACATCTATTCTTGTCTTTCACGAATGAAGATGAATATAACCTGTCCCAGAATAACGTTGCAGGATCTGAGTGGATCACCGGAAACAGAAATTTAGTCTTCCAAGCTTTCAGACTCGTTCTGGAGCTCATCCACAGAGAACTTCTCTCTAGCAGAGTGTTTCCCAAACTTGACAATTTTAAGGCATGTGGACTTCAACTCCCAGAATTCCACAGCCAGCATCTAGCGGAGTGGTTCTTTCTTTTCTTTTCCTTCTGTATTTTTTTATCATAGCATTTACCAGCAAGAAGAAAGGGAGTTTCTTTCTCATCCCTGCTGCAGGATGCAGGAGACATGGCAGTGATATGTGCCATCAGAGGAAGTTAAAATAATGCTTATCTGTTATTTTTGGTAATGCAAAATAGATGTCATTGAGCTTTTGCTCTAATTTACCTTCTTTTTCCATCCAAAATTAATTGGCTATATTTTTTATGCATTCTTGAAGGACAGGAAAAATGGGGGTGGACTGTTATTTGCCTACTCCTGATCTAACATGTATTGCTTGTTAGGAATTTGAGGTGAATTATAGTGTGTCATGCAGGGCTGTGCCATATTCAGTACCATGTAGGTGGCTGTACCATGTTTGATTGTCATGCAAGAGCCAGGTTCACATTAGCTCTTTCTTACAGAACACCAAAGAATGGACCAAAATGGTCATCAGGAACATTGCAGCCTCTGGGAAGTTTTCCAGTGACAGGACCATCAAAGAATACGCCCGTGATATCTGGAATGTGGAACCTTCTGACCTCAAGATCCCACCACCCAATGTACCTCGCGATGTTGCTGATGAGATGCTGGCCAATGACTCAGCTGAAAAGTTGCGTGTGTGAGTCCAAGCAGTCCTGCAAGCTTAACTCCACATGGATAATGCACAGTACACCCTACACTGGGAAAAGCATACATGGATTTAACAAGTAATGGTAATAAAGTGGCCTCTTCTCTTTTGCTTACAAGCACTGAGGGCAGTTGGGGTATCTTATGCATTGTCTACATTTATTTGTTCTCTCCTTCCCTTCTTTGGGAACTCTGGGAATTGTTCCAAAAAATTTTGCTCTGATACATTCTATTTCACCTGATGGCTCCTAAGTGTGCCGGACTATTTATCTCTCATGTTCGCCAATATGATCTTTGGCCATGCTAGATAGTAGTCCCAGCACAACTAGAGAGTACAGTTCAAAGGGCACATTTTTACTAATTTATAGTAGATGTTATAAAAAATGCCATTAATGAGACCAAATATTCTATTTTGCTCAATTGTTGTCTTTTAAAGAAAATGAAAGGGGTTGTCCAAGATGTACATTCATGAAATGAGCTATTAGCAGAAAGAATACATTTTAAGAAAAGACAGCGTTAACACAGAATTTGTATTGTTTTGTATAGAATCTGGATTACATGTTCTTCTTTCAAAGGGCGAGCATATGTTCCTACTTAGCAATGATAGTTATTTGAAGTATTCTGAAGAACACCTTGTCCCTTTTAGCAGATATTGACAGCATTGGGCCTTTAAGGAAGTTGCCCTGTATAGTACACTATAAATCAAATTGATTCATACTGGCAACATAACTGTGAGTAAGAAGACATGCTGAGACAAAAAAGATGTTCTGCTGAAATAAGGCTTATAGCACTCAAGATGAGGTGCATTTATATAAAAAGAAGAAATCTTTGCTAGACTCAAAAGCTCCTGTATTTTTGCCCAGTAATGTTCTGTAACGTATATCTGCAAATTTCACCTGATAAAATAAACTGAAATCCACTTTTTTTATCTTCCAACTGTTCGTTATTTTAATATCCGTGGCAAGAACAGATGTCTCCTTGAGGTTGCTGCAAAGTCACTGTCCACTTGATTGCTGATCCTACGTAATGCTCTTGAGGAAGTCTCTGTTGTGGAACACACAGAAAGAATTTATGTTCTTTAGATTTGGTGCCGTATAAAATCAACCTCCTGCTCAAATTGTCTGACTCACTTGGCCAGGTTTGGGTAGGATATTTTATGCAGAAAAATTATGAAACTACAAATTGTGACAGCAGAAGCTTTACACACACCTCCTTCAACATAATATACTGCCTTTCTGCAGATAGGGAACTTAAGGCAGCTAGAAGGCAAGGATGAAATATTAAGCAATTAGAAACCATCAAAACAACAATAATATATCTGAATATAATCTTTTAAGCCCTGGTGATACAATGGTTAAAGTGCAGTATTGCAGGCAAACTCTGCCCACAGCCTGGAATTCAATCCTGAAGGGGCTCAAGGTTGACTTCCGAGATCGATTTAACGAGTACTCAGATTGTTGGGGTCAATATGCAAATCATGCTTCTACACTGTAAAGTAGAGAGTGCTGTAAAGCATTATGGGACGGTATATAAGTTTAAGTGCTATTACTATTGCTATTGCTTTTTAAACTGGAGCTAGAAAAATAAATAGCCCACTCACCACTCAGTGGTAGTCATCTGAACTTTTCCATTTATTGAAATTCATCATCCCCAACCCCGTCACAGCAGTACAGTATGTAGCAATAACAATTGGCCAGTTTGACCATGCATGGGACAGAAGTATTGCATGATAAATTTTCAGCCACTGCTGCTGGAACTCTTTTCCAAAATGACTTCTCTCTCGAAATCTCAGAAGCACAAGCTCATCTGCTTGATTAAGCTACTCTTAATCGGGTAAGAAGAAAATCTACATTTTGCCATTAAAAATGGATTTTCTGTACTATGGCCTAGTTTATATAACAAACGTGAAATTTATATAACATGAAACCGTAATGTGGTTGCTTGGATTTTCACTTAATATATTCCATGGATTCTGTCCTTTGGGTTTATTCAGTAAACCCAGATAAGCGAATCATGGCTTAATATAAATACAGTCACACTTGTAGTGTATTGGGTTGGCATGTATTCTGTGTCCTTCTCTATTTCAAGCCACTGAAGCATCAAAAGAGAAAACTTTTCACAGAAGTCTTAACAGTAGCATAAACTTGGCTCAGTGTGCTTACTTGAGAATGGAAGCAAGCTCGGGATGAGAGGAGATGTGGTCGTGCCCCAAACCCATGGAAGGTGGGAAGGAAAGAAACTTGATGTTGTCTTTCTTCTCAGAGGCACCGTATGTGATCTCAAAAAGCTGTGCATGTAGAAAAAGAGGAGTGAGAATGAATCTCCAAGTGGACTGTAAGTACTGCTGCACAACTGATTTTTTTCCCCTTAAGAATGGAATTAAATATAGGTAGTCCTTGACTTATAACCACAATTGAACCTAAAATTTCTGTTGCTAAGCAAAGATAGTGAATTTTGCCCCGTTTTATGACCTTTCTTGCCACGGTTGTTAGGTGAATCACTGCAGCTGTTAAGTTAGTAACCCAGTCATTAAGTAAATCTGGCTTCCCCATTGACTTTGCTTCTCAGAAAGTTGCAAAAGGTGATCACGTGACTCTGGGACACTGCAACTGTCATAAATACATGCCAGCTACCAACCATCCAAATTTTGATCACTTGACTGTGGGGATGTTACAACGGTCCTAAGTGTAAGTCATTAAGTCATTAAGTCACTTTTTTCAGTGCCACTGTAACTTTGAATGGTCACTAACAAATGTTTGTAAGTCAAAGACTACCTGTATGATTTGGGCTCCACCAGTTCCCAAGCTCCCACTCTTGGCCAAGTTGCTGGGAGCTACTAGTTACGGTGGTTTACTAGGCTCTACAAGTCCCCAAGATAATAACTCTACCCTCTCACACCATTAATGACAATTACCCTGTGGTGAGATGGGTGGCCCACTGGAAGCTGGATTGTCACTTCAAATAAAAGATGGGATGCTCTGTTTGTTCAGGATATGGCTATGTTACCAAGGATTTAGGACAATGGTTTAAAGGGAATTACTAAAGGAAAACCCTAAGCCCTAGTGGCACAGTGGTCAGAATGCAGTATCGCAGGCTGACTCTGCCCACAGCCAGGAGTTCAATCCTGACCGGCTCAAGGTTGCCTCAGCATTCCATCCTTCTGAGGTCAGTAAAATCATGACCCAGATTGTTGAGGGCAATATGCTGACTCTGTAAACCACTCAGAGAATGCTGTAAAGCACAGGTCCCCAGCCTATGGGCCTCAGGCCATTACTGGGCCATTGCCTTCTGGCCACCAGGCCATGAGACAGGCGGGAACCATTCGCGCTAATGCCTGCAGACCCATTTGTGCATGCATGTGGGGCTAGCACGGCCCATTTGCGCATGCGCATGGGGTTAGCGGCGGCTAGAACCTGCACGCATGTGCAAATTGGGCCACTAGCGCCATATAGGTTGCGTGGCCAATTTGTGCATGTGTGCAGGTGCTAGCAGTGGCGGCTAGCACATGCATGCATGCACAAACAGGGCTGCTAGCACCATGTGGATGTGCATGGCCCAGTGCACGTGCGTGCACGCGCACACAAATTTCCCAGCTGCTCCTTTTCCTTGCGGATTGCCAGAATGAAAAGGTTGGTGACCTTTGCTATAAAGCACTGTGGGGCGGTATATAAATCTAAGTGGTATTGCTATCTCACAAAAGGAAGATCTGAATTTTATGATTGATCTACACTGAGGAAGAAAAGAGAATCCTCTTTTTTCTAGTACTAGAACATTTTACAAATGACCAAAGGTGTGCCATTTGGTTTTTTTTCCAAGACTGCTGTGAAAATATAAAACTATATTGATGATTCATGTTGCAAAAGTACAATTCACAATTAGCAGTAAAACCAAACCTGTTAATATGTGCAGTGACTTTCCAGTCGTGTAGCTTATTTCTATAGAAAGAGTGATCTCTACATTTTTTGTATATTATCCCTTTATATGTACACTTTTAAAAGAGTAATTCACTGCAGTTACTGTTTAGGTACCTTTCTTCCTTGTTGTATAGGTATCATCTTGTCATCTTCTGAATGCAAGATCAAAATAGGACTAGATAACACTTGAACACTATGGACAAGAAAAACAACATTTTAGCTCAATTCAACTATTTTTGGATATCTTCATCCTGCTTTTCAATCAAAAATTGTCTTCCAAGTAATTGAGTAACATTTCTAACCATTAATGAAACCTTAAGTGATTGTGGCTGTCATCTTTTGATTCCTGGCAAAGTATCTCATGAAATCATAGGATTACATAGCTCTTCCACTCCAAAGAAGGAAAGAGAGCCACCTTTATAGATCTAATAAAGGAGAATATTTGTGGCTCAGGGTTGAAATGAGGGGTCCTTGGTGCTCTCTGAGGTTGGTTGTTTTCTTGCAGATGTTTCATTACTCAACTAAGTAACATCATCAGTGCTACTAGTTTCCTAAGTTGGGTAATGAAACGTCTGCAAGGAAACAACCAAACTCAGAGAGCACCAAGGATTTCTCAACCTTATAGGAGATGTTAACTTAGGAAAAGACTTCAGAAATCTTTAAAAAATTTAAAAGACACTCATTTTTCTTTCTACAATAGTACAACATATTTGCAGTTGTGCCTTCAGTATCCCATTACCCTGAATTTCCCATCTCTCCTGAATACATTTCCCTTTCCAGACAGTGGATTTCAAATCACTGGTCAAGCCTATCTCCCATCTGAGTTCATCAAAATCTATCTGACTCTTCTCTATTCCTCCTCTCCTGAATATCACAAATGTTGTACATCAATAGGACCAGCAGGCAAATTGCGGAATCCATGCCTTCAGATGCTACCTTATTCAAGCAAGAGTGTCTGCGGGATCTTGTTGCTTTTGTCACACTGATGAAAGCACTGAGATGGCATCACATCACAACATCTCCCTCTTTTGGGCAAGTGTGTAATAACTCTGCATGCATAGAGAAGGGGCAGGGCTGGCATAGTAATACTTGTCAATCTGTCCCTCCATGCAAATGCCACTGGATCTACCAGTTTGAAAGAAGCAAATCAAGCCTATCATTTGATTGCAACATAAAGTCAGAATAGTAAAGGGCAACTTATTCCAGAACCTGATATCTTCCACATAATTTGGGACTGTGTAATTCTGAACTCACTTTTCCTCATTCAGAAAGAACATGTCAGCTCGGGCCATGGTGTCCAAAATGAAATATTCAAAGCCAGGAAACTTGCGGTAGATCTGATAAAAGAAAACAAAAAAAGATATTTTCCATTCCTGAAAACTCCTTTGTCAACTGCTATAAGAAATACCTTGATTTAGTTGTTTATTTACAATGATTATGTGCCACTTCAGTGAAACTGACTCTGAGTAGCATGCAATTCCCATCTTCACAGATTCAGATGAAAAGCAAAATTAAATGTATAATTGAACAAAAAGAAAATTAGAAGTACCAGAGAGATCCAACCTAGAAATAAGGAGAATTTTTTTGACAGTGAGAACAATTAATTAATGGAATGGTATAAGGTTTTCTGCCTCAGGCATGGGGTAGGACTAGAAGACCTCTGAGGTCCCTTTTTGTTGTATATGGGCATATCAAAGCATTCACATAACTACTTGAATTGCTGCATTCTGGAGTAGCTATATCTTCCCAATGCTCTTCAATTACAAACTCATGTACAGTGCATTCCAACAAAAGATGATTAATACATAAGTTTTAATCTCCCATTCCAAGGGCCACTGTAAAGTCTCCCACTCCAAGGGACATTGTAACAGGAACAGAAAGTGGAGATATGTGAAAAGGCTTCTTGGCCAATGCTGCCACCTGCTCAAGCAGCAGCTGTGAGTACAGGGCGACCCTCAAATTATGGTCCAGGTCTATGTAAGGAATGCAATCTCATTCAGAACTAAAAATGGAATCTCTCCAGACTGAAATGGTTTATGAACGCAGAGCCATGCTACTGTATCTTGATAAAATTAAGCCTCCACTTGTTCTTCCTCAACCAGACCCTAATGACCTCCAGCATCAGCATCACTTGGCTGATCTGAGAAGTAAAGAAATAAGTTGATATCGTGTCAGCAGATGACCTCATTCAGCTCAAGCAACACTGGAATAATCTGATTCCCCCAAAGATCAACTATCAAGTGTGATCAATGTGGTCTCTGTGCCTGAAACCTGATTGCAATAAATCTGTATAACCTGTTTCTTCCAGGGCTCTCTGCAGCTGCAGCCTCCACTGTTTTCTCAACAATTTTCCCCAAAAAGAAAAGGTAGAAGACTGATAATAATCTGCATTGAGCAATGGTTTTTTGAGGACAAGATGCAGCACTCCCTCACTCAAGGATATGTTGTTATCACATATATGCTAAAAACCTAGTACCTATTTTGTTCTTAATAATAAAAGTAAGACTATTAACAGAAATATACATTATTCTTCCTATAAGGAATCCTTTTCTTTTGCTAATTGTGTTTCATACAATATGGAAGATCCTTGGAACATAAATGTGACCTTCTAATGGCTGCTGAACTACAATTCCCAGCATTCTTCATTGCTATACAGTCTATGGCAAGTCAGAATTTTTGTTCAGCAACATCTGAAAGGACTCAATTCCTTTTCCTTCTTCTAGTTGTGTTCTGATATCTATTTTCTCTTCTGCATGAACACATAAATCCAGATTGCATAACACATAAATCCAGTCCCCTAGGTGGACTCAACTGCAGGAGTTCTCACAGTTCAAGTGAGCCAGGCACATATTCTCACTGCAACCTGGCATGCTGCTAAATAAAGAATGCATATATGGAACTAAAAATAAGAGTGCCAAGACTTACTGTTGTTAGTGGGATGCTGGCAGCTGCATCCCGAATAGTGGTATAAGCAGCCTCCAGGATGATTGCATCCACTATGATACCTTCTAGAGGAAAAAAAGAGAATTATATCAGGAAAACAAAAAAAAGTGGAGAGAAACCAAAGAGGAGCAGGTTGTTTTCTGAGACTAAGGCCCTCATTCTGAAAAACAAATGTGACAACCAGAGAACAAGACACACTGGTCTAGCAGAGACAAAGTACATCAAAGCCTCAATGCTAAATATACAATCCACAATTCCCAACATCAGTTTAAAGAGCAGGATTAAGGGAGAAGGCCCAACTAATCATTCAAAACAATCTTATCAGGAGCTGAGTTTTATTACAAGCTGTTCTCTTCTTACCCACAGTTTTCTTGAAAAATTAAGAATACTGCTGGCATTCCTCCCATCTATTTGACTCTAGCTGCTCTCAGCTTTCTAAACTGGAGGAGCTTGAATGATAGGCTCCCCAAAATAGGCAGAATAAATAAGTAGGTGGAGCTAAACCAAAACTAAATATGTTTGTATGAAATTAATTCAATGCAATTACTACAATTATACTCTGGGAATGTGATGATTTTCCCATTCAAGTATCTCGAAAACTACAATTTTGACGGCAGATTTTACAAGAGCTCTGAGACCACACTCAAAGGAGCCCACAGGAAACAGGTTGCACACTTTTGCTTGAAATACTGGGGCAATTTGCAAACAATTTGTCAATGGAAAACATGCCTGGCCCCTCCCCATTTCTTTCCATTCAACACTGATAGAGTCAGTGAGAAAAATGCATCACAACATCGTTAACATGCTCAAACAGCAGAAATAAGTTACACAAGAACTAAGAACTTCCATTTCTGTTGTTTGTTCCATTCTTCACAGGAAGAAGTGACTGCAGAAAAGTCAAGATGGCAGTCATGATCACACAATAAAAACCTTGCTCTCTTAAGCACTTGCAAATTGCTCAAGTGAATGATCACACACACACACACACACACACACACACACAAACAAACAACTGGGTAGTCTTTTAGTGTATGTGCAACATGTAATGGTGTTGGGAAGGGCAGTTTGCATGAATGGGCAACAATGCAAAATGAGTGAAGCTAAATGAGTGAAGCATTAAATTTTCAGATTTTTCTCTCTCTTTTTTTGCCGTTTGCAGATATTTGGATTATATTTGTTAACAGTGTTAAACATATATTACAGGGGTTTTTTATATTTTTTTTTCTCCTGCTTTATATTGGCAAAAAAGGTGTCCTCAGGATACAGTAAAAAGTGTCTGAGTCCCTGGGCTTGGTTGGCATCCTTCAGTCTCGAGAGAGTATGGTATTGTGCTCTGGAAAGAGGACCTAAGACAGCATCTGGTGGCCATGCTGTGTCTTTAGCCTCCAGACTGAAGATCAGAGGTCAAGAATTCCCAGCTGTTAATGTCCATTCCCAAGGCCTTTAGGTCCCTCTTGCAGATATACTTATATTGCAGCTCAGGTCTCCCTCTGGGGCGCTTTCCCTGCACTAGTTCTCCATACAGGAGATCTTTCGGAATCCAACCATCAGCCATTCTCACAACATGCCCAAGCCAGCGTAGATGTCACTGTTTCAATAGTGTATACATGCTAGAGATTCCAGCACATTCCAGGACTGCACTATTTGGGACTTTGTCATGCCAGGTGATGCCGAGAATATGTCGGAGACAGTGCATATGAAAGGTGTTCAGCTTTCTCTCCTGCCGTACATGAAGGGTCCAAGACTCACTGCAGTACAGGAGTGTGCTCAAGACGCAGGCTTTATAGACCTGAATCTTTGTATGTTCTGTCAACTTCTTATTAAGCAATATTCTCTTTGTAAGTCTGGAAAATGTAGTGGCCACTTTACCAATACGTTTATTCAGCTCAGTATCTAAAGAGAGAGTGTCAGAGATAGTTGAGCCGAGGTACACAAAGTCATGGACAACTTCCAATTCCTATGCAAAGATTGTAATACAGGGAGGTAGATCCACATCCTGACCCATGACGTGTTTTTTTCAGGCTAATTGTTAAACCAAAGTCTTGGCAGGCTTTACTAAAACAGTCCATAAGTTGTTGAAGATCTTCGGCAGAGTGAGCAGTAACAGCAGCATCATCAGCGAAGAGGAAATCCCATAGGCATTTCAGCTGGGCTTTAGACTTTGCTCTCAATCTAGAGAGATTAAAGAGTTTACCATCTGATCTGGTCCAGAGATAGATACCCTCTGTTGCAGTTCCAAAAGCGTGTTTCAGCATGACAGCAAAAAAGATCCTGAATAAAGTTGGCTTTAGACTTTGCTCTCAATCTAGAGAGATTAAAGAGTTTACCATCTGATCTGGTCCGGAGATAGATACCCTCTGTTGCAGTTCCAAAAGCGTGTTTCAGCATGACAGCAAAAAAGATCCTGAATAAAGTTGGCGCGAGGATGCAGCCCTGCTTCACTCCAGTTCGAACGTCAAAGGAATCTGATATTAGGCCATCAAAAACAACAGTGCCCTTCATATCCTCATGAAAGGACCTGATGATGTTGAGGAGCTGAGGTGGACATCCAATCTTGAGGAGAATTTTATATAAGCCATCCCTACTAACCAAGTCAAAAGCCTTCATAAGATCTATGAAGGCTACGAAAAGTGGCTGTCTTTGCTCCCTGCATTTCTCCTGCAACTGTCTAAGGGAAAATACCATGTCAATGGTGGACCTGTTGGCTCGGAATCCACACTGTGATTCTGGATAGACTCTCTCTGCAAGCCCCTGGAGCCTCTTCAGTACGACACAGGCAAGCAGCTTCCCTACAACACTGAGAAGAGAGATGCCATGATAGTTGTTACAATCACCCGTCGCCTTTGTTCTTATACAGTGTGATGATATTTGCATCCTTCATGACCTGTGGTATTACACCTTCCCTCCAACAGAGGCAGAAGATTTCGTGCAATTCAATGGGGATGCTCTCTTTGCAGCACTTCAGAATTTCAGCAGAGATGTTATCTTTCCCAGGTGCCTTGCTGGAGGCAAGGGAGTCCAGGGCCACATTTAATTCTTCTAGAGTTGGTTCACTGTCAAGCTCCTCCAAGACAGGCAGACACTCAATATTATTTAATGCTTCTTCAGTTACCTCGTTTTCTCTGGAATATAACTCGGAGTAGTGCTGCACCCAGCATGCCATCTGCTGTGCCCGGTCCTGGATAACCTCGCCTGTGGCAGACTTCAGAGGGGCAGATTTCTTCTGTGTTGGACCTAAGGCCTGTTTGATGCTATCGTACATCCCCTTGATGTTGCCTGTGTCAGCTGTTATCTGGATCCAAGAGCAAAGTTCCAGCCAATAATTGTTAGCACATCTCCTGGTGGTCTGTTGGACTTTGCTACATGCAGCGCGCAGAACCCGTAAGTTGCGCTCACTGGAACAGGCTTTATATGCAATTAAAGCTCTTCTTTTTTCCTTGATGGCTGGCATCAGGTCATCCGAATGGGCTTCAAACCAATCTGCTGTCTTTCTGACCTCTTTACCAAATATTGACAGAGCGGTGTTATAAACAGCGTTCTTGAAATATACCCAATGTTCAGATGCATTTGCTTCAGCCGGGCCTGGGAGTCTCCTTTAGTGCTTGTGCAAATTCCTCCACTTTGCCCTGATTGTGGGTCTTGCTAGTATCGATACGTAGTCTTCCTTCCTTCTTCGAGTGATGCAATCTCTTTATTTTCAGTTTTATTTTGCTGCACACCAAGGAGTGATCTGTATCACAATCAGCACCCTGATAGCTGCGTGTGATTGTAACACTGGGAAGGTTGGAACGCCTGGTAAGAATCAAGTCGAGCTGGTGCCAATGCTTCAATCTTGGGTGTCTCCAAGAGGCACTGTGTTGAGGCTTTGTTTTAAAGAATGTATTGCTAACACAAAAACTGTAATAGCAGCAGAACTCCAGAAGGCATTGGCCATTTTTGTTCATCTTCCCGACGCTGAACTGACCTAGGCAAGTGGGCCAAGAACTATAATCAGCTCCAACCCTGGCATTAAAGTTGCCAAGGATAAACAGTGATTCTTTCTCAGGGATTTTCTTAATAATAGCAGCCAGATCATTGTAGAATTTGTCTTTGGATTCTACTGAAGATGATAATGTTGGTGCGTATGCGCTGATAAGAGTAACCAATCCTGCTGATGAGTGTAGTTGCAAGGACAGAATTCTTTCACTTCCAGCAGCAGGTGGAGTAATGAATCCTAGTAGGATGTTTCTAATTCCTGAAGCCTTTTCCAATAGTAGATATAGCCACAAGGCAGTGGAGGTTTGAAATCAGAGTTTCCCTTCTCCTAGATGATGGTTCTGCCACTTTATGCTTTATCCGCTGTTGGGGCATAAAGCTCTCTCCTGCCTTCAAAACCACTGACCATCTTCTCCTGTAACCCTGGAAAGGGGCCCTTACGAGGTGCTACCAGCCAGGCCAGCTGGACCAAGGTTTTTTAAGGAGGTATTACTCCTCCAGCACTCCTCCCCACTCCAGGACTCCTACTCCAGATTTTGCCTCGGGATTGCTCATTCACTCCTTTACTTACTACTCCATTGCTTCCAAATGCCATTTGCTCATTCACTCCCACACATACTACCCCGTCAGTTGCAAATGCCATTTGCTCGTACACTCCCTCACTTGCTGCCCTTCACTTCCAAATGCCGTTTACTCATTCATTCATTCCCTCGCTTACTACCCCGTCGCTTCCAAACACCATTTACTCATTCACTCATTACTCATTCACTCCCACACATTCACTCCCACACATACTGCCCCGTCGCTTCCAAAATGCTCCATCGCCCCATCACTCCCACATGTACTACCCCGTCGCTTCCAAACACCATTTACCTCATCGCTTCCAAACGCCATTTGCTCATTCACTCGCAGACACATTACCCCGTCAGTTACAAACGCCATTTGCTCATACACTCCCTCATTTGCTGCCCCATCGCTTCCAAACGCTGTATACATTCACACACAACTTTACTCACAAACATTGCATTCCTACATGGATTCCATTTCAATGGAAGAGGAGATGCTCTATCCTTCTAACATCGTCTTTTCCTAGCTAGGAACAGCTAGTTAGGAACAGCACAACTACTGTACCCGAATCCTCGACCAGGAAGGGAGGCATGGCAAGTCAGCCTTGGACTTCTGGCACCTCCGCTCTTCCCTCCCAGCTGTCCATCCCTCCCAGCTGTCTGTCCCAAGCCTGGGCTTATAAGGCTATTAAAGAGTCAGTTTGAGCTAGTGATTAAGTCACGAGGTTAGAAACCAGAAGACGGTGAATTCTAGTTCTGCCTTAACCATCAAAGCCAGTTGTTGACCTTGGACCAGTCACTTTTTCTTAGACCTACTCACTTCACAGGGTTATTGTTTATGGGGAAAACAGAAGGTGGAAGGTGTATTGGATATGTTTGCGGCCTTGACCTCCTTATAAAAATAATAAAGGCAGGATACAAATAAATAAGTTGCATTCCCCTGCAATAGACTCATTCCCAAGCCAATTTTGCAGAGGAAATTTTTTTGAGATTGGCCCTTTTAAGTACTTGGGATATACCATGATGCACTTGGAGGGGAGGTATAGGTTACCTACAATTATGTAGGTAACCTATATAATTCTACCATTTTGACTTAGCTGAGAGAGATTGGAGAAGAAGCTACAAGGAACTGGAAAGTGAACATCAAAGTAGAAAAGAATATTACGTTTTACAGATTCTTAACAGCTTTCTGACAACTCAATCATAACAGATGGATAGCAGGGGATAATTTCAGTGTTTTTCAAACTTGCCAACTTTAAGATGTATAGACTTCAATTCCCAGAATTCTCCAGCCAGCTACTGCATGCCTGTCAGGGCCAGTGTTCCAGATGTCTAATATTTAATATGTTCCTCCTTCCCTCTACATCTTTTATTACCAGCTTTTACCACATTTCCAATATGCTCTTTGTATAAACCAGTGTTTTTCAAACTTGATGTGGACTTCAACTCCCAGAAGTTGAAGGGAGTTGAAGTCCATACATCTGAAAGTTGACAAGTCTGAAAACAGTGTTCTAGGTCATACAGACTATGCAAAAAGAGACAGAATCTTCCACAACAATTCAATGAGAAATGTTATTTTCTCCATTCATATAATAATTACCTTGTTCTTTCAGCTTTCTGGCAGTATTGGTAGCAATTCTACAAGGAAGGAAGAAATTGTGAGGATACAAAAAGTCTTAACATATCTATTCTGAAGTAAGTCTCATCTATGTTGTTTGTTTTGGCATAAATTAGGGAAGAGTTACCATCTTAAGCTACATCCTAAACCACTGGTTCTCAACCTGGGGTCCGCAGAACCCTGGGGGAGCACAATGTCATCGGGGGGGAGGTCTGCAAAGACTTGAAGAAATGCTGAGTTAAGGCTTGGTGGTCCATGGCCACAAAAGGTATTTAAAGGGGGTCTGTAGTGAAGAAAAGGTTGAGAACCACTGGCCTAACAATTACGAACTTCTTTCATGACTGCCACAAAAACCCCTTCTCAAACCCACTGAAAGCTTCTGAAATCTGTGGTCTTAGTACATTATAGCTAATTAAGCATTAATCAAAAAGATTAATTTTATTTTAAAATACTATTGAGGTCGAAGTTCAGCAGGCTTTGTACTGCTGATCCATCGCTTATATATTCCTTTCAAGTCTTCCTGACTGTGATAATGCTATAGTGCCTTTGTTTGTAAAATATTTATATATAATAATTAAGAATTTATAAAGAACATGCACACCAATGTCCAAAATATAGTCATCAATTTTCAAGCTATCAGATGGAAAGAAACATTTTCTCTTGCTCTGAAGGTCAAAATAATAACCTACCCGGTGCCCAGGGAGTGTCCCCAGAAGATGATTGTGCTATTTCCACTCCGTGCTTTTATCCAGTTGTAAAGGCAGAGAACATCTGTTGTAAAGCCTTTTTCACTAGGTTTACCAGTAGAGTCTGCATAGCCTTGGAGAAACCATGAGGCAAATTAGACGGAAATATGCTGAACATCTAGAAATCAACTTTGCATTGAAACTTACCTCTGTAGTCCACAGTCAAGACATGAAAGCCACCATCACTCATTCCCTGTATTAAAAGTTAGAGAAATTTCAAACACAAATAACTTTCTAAAAGGGATAAAGTCATATCTCAAAGTTAATTAGTCACAAAACCCTACCACTGAGGCATAACGTCAACCTTCAAGGCAATCAGACTTGGAAGCCAATGTAGGTCAGTACTAGTTTTTTGATAAAGTTATATAAATAATCCTCAACTTATGGCCACAAATGAGTCCAAAATTTCTGTTGCTAAAGAAGAATTTTGCCCCATTTTACTACCTTTTTTCCCACAGTTCTTAAGTTATTCACTGTGGTCGTTAAGTAACACAGTTAAGTAACACAGTTGTAAATTGAATTTGGCTTCCCTATTAACTTTGCTTGTCAGAAGGTTGCAACAGTACCATTGTAACTTCAACTGGTCACTAAATGGACTGTTGCAAGTCAAGGATTATCTGTAGCAACAGAATCTTGAAGTCTGAATGCGCTTCCCTCTTCCCTCCCTTTCTCTTTATGAGAACGAGGAAGGGCTCTTCCCAGAGACATTTACTCAGGTTACATTCCAACCCATTTGTGTTCCTTTGATCTGACCACTGCCTTGGCAACAGCTCTTCTTCCTGTTCCTCAAGGCCATTCCTACTGTCATCTATACATAATTCAGTTGGGTTGGGCTAAGTAAGATTGGAATTGTCCACCCAGCTATTTAGAAGAAAGCGTGTGGTTTACAACTGTGTGTACTATGTAAAGCAGCGGTCCCAACCTTTGAAGTAGTGAGCTGAGGATGGGATGAAGGCAATGAGGATATGCCATACAAAAATAGTTACCAGGACGTATTTGTTCTGGGGTTTAGAGCAACACAAGGATGAGACCCATGTAAGCTACAGTCTATAAACCACTTCTAACAGATTTGCATCAGTAGCCATACCATAGCTAGACAATCCAGACATCTGTTGGGTTCTTAGTGTTCTCTGCTGATGTTGTTTTCCTGCCGATGGTAGCAAGTTGGGTAACATTATCAGTATAAGGGGGAGTGGAGTTTGCTGATTATTTATATATAGCAGCTTGCCTTACTAGTCTTGGCTTGTTTAAATGTTGGTTGCTAAAGAGGATGTGTTCTGGGTTATTAGTTTTCATCCCTAATTTTTTATTCTACCTTTTAAATGTATGTAGATGGAGTTTAGCCGTATGTGTTAGTTGATGGCTGATCTGTTAGAATGTATTTATTTAAATAATTTGTATAGCTACCCATCTCATAGGCAGTAACTCTGAATAGCAGACAGAGGATTAAACTAAAAGAAACAGGTAACATGCAAAATAATGGGCCCAAATACTGATAAAAGCAATAATAATGATAATAATAATAAGACATAGCCCAGGTCAAAACACATCCCATTTTCTATCAATAAATAAACAAATCCAATCTTTTACCTGTCTGTTCTACATAGTAGCTGTTATAATTTTTACAATATATGTTATAAATGACTTCTGTTTCTTCTTCTTTGGTTATTGGGTCTTTGGGTTTGCTTAAGATGTTTCAGAAGGTTTTCTTTTATTTTCTTTGTAAACCGACAAGTAATAGTTGTCTGCTGGCTGTCTCAGAGATGTTTCTGATATAGGGCAGTTATACTTTTCATCGTTAAATATCCCTGAACATCAATGAGCAGTCTAAAGAAAGTTCATCTTCTTCTCTGACTGCCCACTGAATGTTCTTAGATGTTTAAAATGAAAAGGATATCTCTCCCAATACACAGTCAATTTCAAACTGGGAAACTGTTGACAATTTACTTCAAGCCATACCCAAAAATTCTAGGGAATCCAATTTATTATAATTATTTTAAATTTATTATAGCTGTCCACTCCATAGACTCTAGACAACTTACAAATATAAAGACTAAAAATCATTAAAAACATTTAACATCATAGGCAGCCCAGATTAAAACAATCAAATAATTCAGACAACCACTAGATGACACTAAAGAGACAAGGATTGCTGCACCTCTTTGCTGCCACCTACTGGCCAGTGTCATATGGGAGGACTAGGCATTGAAATGCTCTACACAGCATTGGATATGCTCAAATGAGTATTTGTAATAGAAAGAAGAATAGATTTTTGAAGAGACTATAACATGTTAATGCCATGCAGTTCAAAAATAGCAATAAAATATCTGTATCTGCAGATTAAACAACAGGAAGATCTGTTTAACTGCTAAGAATAAGAACCTCAGTCCTAGGGAGTGAAAAGGAATGCACAGAAAAAGGTAGATAAAATGGAAGTGATTTCAACAGCATTAGGATATCAAGAAAAGTATTATTTCTGCCCATAAGGCTGGCACATTCACTAATAAACTAGTCAATCCCAGAAAAAAAAGACAAGCACAGGCATGGCTCTGTGAAAACAAAGGCACTGCAGCCCAGGCAGAAACTTTACTAATCACAGATTCTTTAATACATACCTTTATGAAATTAACTCGGTGACTTGTTGCCCTGGAAGAGAGTTCAGAAATTAGCTACAACAAAATACTGAAAGAAGAAGAATGCTGTAGCTGCCCACTTCACTACTTCCAGAAGCATCTAGTTAACGCTTATGGTCATGAGGAAACTGGTCTAGGTGGGTATTTGGTCTGATTCAGCAACCAAACTCTTTGGATGTTGTTTGATAGCTTTCCACCAAGAGGATGCCCTCCAGCTCTCTTGGCTTCCAGTATAGCCATTCAACCTAACAAATATGGGAATGAAGGTGTAATATAACTGGAGGGCATCAGACTGAACAAGCTGTATTGATATCCTCAAAATATTTCTTGGTTTTATTTTAAAATTCTTATTTCACGAATGGTTCTTGAAGGGAAAAAGAAAAGAAATGTGTTATTTTGTTCCATAACGACAGGTATTTTAATGTAAGGATCTGAGTTAGAAAACCTTGCATTGATGATGTTCCCTAGGCTGATCTAAAAAAAAAAAAAAAAACTGAAAGAAGAAAATCAAGCTCCAATATCAAGACAAGAACTAATAAAATGTAGACAACAGCTGGAATTGGTGAAAGAATAACTATAGATGGTACTGATTGACTGGCATCTGTAATGTCATCAACCTATTTCTCCCCACATCTATACAATGGTTTTTGAATTATTTTTTACTTCAATTTTCAATGTTGTTTAGTTATAAGGGAAAGGAAGAATGCATATATGAACAAGCATTCCCAGCTGTTTCAAAAGAACAAATCCAGTGGAGGAGAATGAAATAATGGGAACTCAACTCTAAAGTTTGCAATAGAAAGAGAATCTTCTACAACTCCCTTTTAAATTCTCCTTTGTCTTCTCTTGGATGCAAGCTATGAAGTTTCTCTACTTTCTATTTCCAGTTGGAAATTTTGAACTAATATTCTTGTCACTAAACATGCATTTAAGTAATATTAAAGCATATGATAAATAAAAAACAGTAATTAAACAATTGAAAGAAGCTATTAAAAGGACTAATGAAAATTTCAGACTTTTACAAAAAAGAACTACATCTAAAAAAACAAATCCAGACTATTTGCAAAAATGAGTAGTTGTTATGAGCACCTTTGCTAAGACAGACAAGGTTTTTTGTTTGCCAACATAGATTATGAAAACCTGTCCAAGATGAAGGATGACAAACCATCTCTTTCATCTTTTTTTTTTAAAAAAATGTCAATCAGACTCCCGCTTATGCAAAAAGAGGCCTCTGGGTATTCACACCTTGTTGGATGAGAAACAGGATATGTTTCCCAGACTGTAGCTAGCTTGTGCATGCATTCTTGCAAAAGAAGTTGGAACAATGCTTGGAGAGGGAGAGGTTTTTGCTCAGTCTTCCTCCAGACAATAAAAGCCCCGATGAGCACAATTCCAGCTTCTTCTGAATGACTGTAAATGCCAAATCCTGGCTGTCACTATTCCCAGGATAATAATTTAAAATGCAAAAGGAACCAGATACATTATTAGTCTTGCAAAAGAGCTCAGATTTCACAAGAATTTTGTCACTGAAATCACTGCTCAACTCCTCCAAAGCTTTTCTTGCTTAATCCTAGGGAAAATACAAATGTTGAAAGAAAAGGAACAGTATATGGAATATTATATGGAAGCAGGAGATTCTGGGGAGGGAAGGATGGGACCTTCCTATTTGTTTTCTTCACTAGAACCAGGCCTTAATCTTTCCTACACCATTCCAGCCATGTACCTTTGCCAGTTTTCCTGCCTCTGGACTCCTGCATTCCACCAGATGCTGAAATTCTTGCTACTTCATATGTTTCAACAGAGTGGTACTGAGTTCTCGCTTTTAATTATGATTATGCTGCGATGGGAAGCCCCAATGCTTCCAAATCAATGAACACGTGGGCCATTCCAGCATCTTGTCACAGACACTCTCGCAAAATGGAGGTTATGGTGGTGGCCCATAAAATATTCACTATCAGCAGATAAATAGATAAAGTAGCTGTCCGTTACCTTCTCAACTACCTCTGGCTTTTCACTAAGTACAGAAATCCATGTCTAAACGAGGCCCTGAGCTATAGCCCTCGATTTGTTTACTTTCTAATAACATCTCTCTATATATATCCCAGAAACTTTCTTGGAAAGAAAGATTATACCTGAGATTGGCTCTATGCTCTACAGCAGGGGTCTTCAGACTTGGCCCTTTTATGACTTGTGGACTTCAATTCCCAGAATTCCTCAGCCAACATGCCTGGCTGAGGAATTCTGGGAGTTGAAGTCCACAAGTCATAAAAGGGCCAAGTCTGAAGACCCCTGCTCTACAGAATGCTGGGTTTCCATCAAACTATTTCAGAGATCTTAATCTATTGTTTGGTATCTTCCAGACGTCACAAACAAGCAACTAAATTTCGTTTTTAATGTGTGCCATTGTGCCTACAGTAAAAAATGACAATAAAGGTTGTCTGTCTATCTATCTATCTATCTATCTATCTATCTATCTATCTATCTATCTAAAAGGTCAAAATGTTTTTTTTTCCCCAACCTGGTTCCAAGCACATGAAGACTAAACCCCAGAATTTGGATAGTTATTCCAAATTCATTCTAGGTTAGAGTGAAAGCTACAACGGACAGTTGCCATATCATAAAGTTTGAGAAATCCTACAATATAGATTAAAATGGCATATTTATTTCTTGAACAACTCTAACACTAATATAATGCTTAATAAAATTATTCTTTAAATAAAACTCCAGCATTAATGAAATTATTAGCATTAGTCATGGGAGGAGTCATATTGTTGAGCTCCGGGGGAAAATGGAAAAAGAAAATAGTTCCACTAAAAGTAGAGCCAATAACTGCAATGGAATTAAAGCCAATGAGCAGATGGACTCTTTAAAATTCTTCTCTGGACAAGAAAAGGACTTGGGATCACTCACAAGTGTTCCAGAGAATTGCTCCTCACAAGGAGACTGCAAGATAGCAGTCTTCAGGGGATTTAGTTCTCTAATCTAAGAGATAAAGGAATGAGATCTCCACCTAAACATGGTTGGAGTGTTTATGGACAAAGGATTCACCTATTTTTTTTTCTAATCACTTTTGGAAATTGCTTGTCGATTGCTTTTCAGATATTAGGAACCTATAGATTAGCAGGTAATTTTCCTTCAATCCTTAGTGAAAGAAATGTCAAATACAAGGACTTTAAAAAATCATGTTTTGCAAAAAGGTAATTTTAGAAATGCACTAAGGATCCAGATGGATTTGAAATAACATTTGAAATTAATTACAGTCGTTCCCATTCAAAACAACAAATGCTGTTTGATAGGATGGAACAAAGAAAAAATGAAAAGAAATTATATTCTAGGATATTATTTGAAGGGATTAGAAAACAAGATTGTCAAAAGTAAAAGGAAGGAATATAAAGTTAGCTTATTTGATCAAGTTTAAAATAGATAGGTTATATCTTGTAACTCTTAATGGTCTTTTGTTGACCACAACTGAACAACTTTAAGGATCCATTTATAGATAAGAGATATGGAAAAAAGAGATCGTTCACTACATTTTAAGAGAAAGTGATAAGTAACTAAAATTGTTTATACTTGTCATCAGAGAGGAAGTATTTCTTCATACATACATATATATGTGTGTGTGTGTGTGTGTGTGTGTGTGTGTGTGTTTATTGTGTTCCTATTTTTTTCTGTTTTCTGTTTTTTCTCTTTTTTTTCTTTTCTGTGCTTTTAGGGTTTTAATGAATTAGTTTTTAGCTTTTTAACTGTAATGTTTAATAAATTACTACAAAAAAGTAAAGTCATACTGCTTAATTCATCATTTTATGGGATCTCTGTATTGCAAGTTAAGAACGCTGGCAACTAATGGTAAAAAATTCAGCCCATAATAAAGGATGTGTGAAGTCCTTGCTTCTCAGTCCGGCAGAGAAAGTGAAGCCACTTTCTCCCTCCCTGGATTTCCACCCCAACATAGATCACCTAGGATAATCTCAGCATTAATGTTTCTGCTGAGAGTACGAAATTCACCTGGTACCCCCATTGCCGTGGAGATAGATGATGATGGGGTTATCATCTGCGAGGGCCTCTTCATACCAGCTGAAGTCTTTTCCTTCAGCTTCCTTCCGTCTGTTGTCTGCTAGAGTATACCTAAGACAGGAAGCCAACAGGTCAGACAAGCCTCTTTTTAGTCCTCCAAGGTAGGCCAGACAAGCCTACCTCAGAAGTACTAACTGTGTTTATTGTAAGGTTACATTAACAGAATCTTGCAAGACTGAAAATATTTCTCCCCTTCTTTCCTTTTACTCTCCAGGAAACTAGGGAGGATCCCTTCTGAAATGTTTCCCATGCCTTCCCTCCTTCTGTAGCTGAGATTATCTTTTTCATGCTGGTTGTCCAAAGGAGGTAAGTTTCCTTTGTCCAAATTACTTAATGAACCAGGCCACTGAATTAACTGAAATAGCCAAGATGTTTATTTTAAAAAAGAATTAGATTCATACATGCATCAACAGAAACAAAACAAAAATGGGAGAACACTGATCCAGCTTTTCTACTAAGGATATCACAGGAGATGTCAAAAAGATCAACGTGGCAACTTCACTCATGCAATCAAATATGCTTTGTGCATGCATAAAAAAACAGGGATCAATTGTACAGTTGTAGCCATCATCTTGTCTTTGTTTACTCTTCCATGAATGCCCCACATAGGTACTTTGAAGTAGAATGGAACAACTCACTGAGGCCAACTCACCCCAGTCAACTCACCATAGCCAATTCACCCCAACCAACTTGCTGTGGGACAATCCGAGAGAGGAACAAGTGAATTGCAACGGCCTTGTCTCACTTTAGGTTTGAACACTCTCATGTTGGAAGTCCTCGAGGCTGGGTGAGCTGCAATTCATTTGTCCCTCTCTTGAGTTATCCTGCTTTGAATTGTCCTGGAGCAAGTTGGCTGGGTGAGTCTGCTGGAGTGTGTTCTCCTAGACCAGGGGTAGGGAACCTGGGCTCTTTTAAGACTTGTGGACTTCAATACCCAGAATTCCTGAACCAGACATGCTGACTCAGGAATTCTGGGAGTTGAAGTCCACAAGTCATAAAAGAGCCAAGGTTCCCTACCCCTGTCCTAGACCCATTTGAAGTATGATCTCTTGGCCACAGATCTGATCTCAAGTGAGCCTGACCAAGGGAACTGCAAGTTGGACCTATATAATCTATGCCAAAGAGGCTGATGGAGCCAAGTAATTACTCACCAAATGCCAAAAGTGATTCCTGGTTCAGAGGTAAGATAGAAGTTTCGGGTGTTCTTTAGAAATACCTCAGGCTTATTATAATCTACTCCAAAAGGGTAAGCCACTGCAAAAGAAAATAACGTTGAAGTTTGCTTTCTGTAAAATCAGTTGATCTCCCCTCCCATTTCCAGCACCCTATGCCATGACAAAGACTCTGAAAACGTCAAAAACTTCAAGTTGCTTTAACTGAGTTTTTTCCCCTGCACCCACAGAATGCTGGGGGTTAATAATATTGTGATGGACAGAACCACAAGTTCTTCAGAGAGAATGATCTACAGCAAGGTGTCAAACTGCCGGCCCATGGGCCGGATGCACCATAGCAAAACCGTGCTTAACCCATTGCCGGCAATGAAAAAAAAATCATGACACATCACAACACGTCACGTGACATTGCGAGTTTGACATACCTGATCTACAGTTATCCAAACTCGATTCTGGTGATATTTTGAACCAAGGACTAGCAGTGTTTTCATGAGTCAAGCACTGTTGTGTGATTTTGTTTAAAAGTATGGGCACCAAATTTCTTGAAAATGTATTTAAAAGGGCCAAGATCTCCCACAAGATCAACAAATCTTATGTCAGATTTATGACCTCATACCTGGAAGAAAGGCACAATCTCAAAGAATCCTGTGTTTTGCAATAAGATGAGAGCTTGGCCATTTCTTCTTTTAAATTCATGTTTATTTAAATGGATATAATCTGAAGCAGTCCCCAGTTTTGGAAAATCAGAATATCACTTGGAAATCAATGATAATCATCTTAAAATCCCTGCAATTATTATTAGGCTAGTAAGATAAATGCTGTTTTTAAAACAGAAGAGAGTATTAAAAATATCAAGGGAAGCACTTCCTTTATCTACAGCTATGGCCTACTACCACATTCAGGTGGAGTATATTTAGAAATTAATGCTATGCAGTTGTTAACAATTTATCAATGTTTATTTAAACAAGCCTCTTTTAACTATTAGCATGACTTTGGAGAGCTTGTTTGGCATCATGATTAAAAGCATGGAAGTTACAACTGGAAGTTCCAGTCCTGGTTTAAGCATAAAATCACCTGAATACCTTCGCCAACCAGCTTCTCGGTTACCAAGAAACCTGCATGAACTTGTCCACATACCTGCATAATACTGTGAACATCTTTCATTAAAATGTTTACGCAAAAAGTATATTCATCACTTTAACAGCATAGTAATTTAGAAACCTTGGGGACACTATTAAAGTTGATCTTTTGCAACAATATTTTGAATAGATTTCTTGAGCAAGATGTAGATCCACCCTGTATTTGAGTTACAATTGCATTATCTGACATTTTCAATAAAGATTAACTTAGTCAATCTGGTAAAAACAAAGATATTTTGAGTGGTTTCCAACAAGTCCTTAATTAATCATTGCATACAAGTAGTCATTCACAGATAAATTTTCAGTTGAGATAGATGGATAAAACAATAGGAATACTTACAAAAATTGAGATATACAAATTTTCTTATTATTGAAGGGAATAGTCGAACACTCAATGGTACAGAGACATATACAATAAATAAATACAGTAACACCGCCATGACTATAGAGACATAATTCAGAAGTTCCCTAGAGAAAAAAAGATGGAATGAGATTTAATGTATTGCTAATTATAATAATTATACTGTTTACCGAGATAATCCAACGACAAATGGCTAATACTTGTGAAGATTACAGGTAGTCCTAGACTTATGACTATAATTGAGCCCAAAATTTCCTTTGCTAAGCAAGGCAGTTGTTAAGTGAGTTCCACTCCATTGTACAACCTTTTTGCCACAGTCATTAAGTGAATCTAGCTTCCCCCATTGTCTTCGCCTGTCAGAAGCCAGCTGGGAAGGTCACAGTGGGTGATAACAGGATCCCAAGATACGGCCACTGTCATAAGTACGTGTCAATTGCCAAGTTCCTGAATTCTGATCACCCCATCATGGAGATGCTGCAACAGTCATTAAGTGTGAAAATTGGTCATAAATCACTTTTTGCAGGGCTGTTGTAACTTCGAACAGTCACTACACAAATGGTTGTAAGTCGAGAACTACCTGTATATATTACCTCCAACATTGGAAGCAGTGACTTTTTCAATTTAAGTACTGGGAAACCAAAAGAAGAGAGACAACTGATTGAGCAGAAGGACCGTACTACCAGTACAGGGTAGTCCTCAGCTTAGGAACCCATATCTTAACAACTGTGGTATTTACAACAGCCCCCTCCCCTTACTTAGGACCCAGTTTTGAAGTTCTGATGGCTGGGCTCTCCCTGCAGTGTCGTAATTGTATTTTGGATGCTAAGCCACTGGCCACAACTATCACTGCCTCCAATAAGGCATTTGATAAAGTAGACCACAACCTAGTACTTGATAAGATAGAAAAATGTGGGTTAGACAGCATCGCTATCAGGTGGATTCGTAGTTGGCTGACCAGCCATACTCAGCGTGTGGTCCTCAATGGAACTGCATCTATATGGAGGGAAGTGTATAATGGGGTGCACCAGGGCTCTGTCCTGGGCCCAGTGCTCTTCAACATCTTCATCAATGATTTGGATGAGGGGATAGATGGGGAACTCATCAAATTTGCAGATGACACCAAGCTGGCAAGAATAGCCAACACTCCAGAAGACAGGTTTAAGATACAGAAGGATCTTGACAGACTTGAACATTGGGTGCTATCTAACAAAATGAAAATTAATGGTGAAAAAAGTAAGGTTCTACATTTAGGCAAGAAAAACCAAATGTACAGGTATAGTATAGGTGATACCTCACTCAATAGTAGTAACTGTGAGAGGGATCTCAGTCCTAGTGGACAATCACTTAAATATGAGCCAGCAATGTGCTGCAGCTGCCAAAAAAGCCAACACAGTGCTAGGCTGCATTAACAGAGGGACAGAATCAAGATCACATGAAATGCTAATACCACTTTACAATGCCTTGGTAAGGCCACACTTGGAATACTACATCCAGTTTTGGTCACGATGTAAAAAAGATGTTGAGACTCTAGAAAGAGTACAGAAAAAAGCAACAAAGATGATTAGGGGATTGGAGGCTAAAACATATAAGGAATGGTTGCTGGAATGGATATGTCTAGTTTAATGAAAAGAAGGATTAGGGGTGACATGATAGCAGTGTTCCAATATCTCAGGGTTGCCACAAAGAAGAGGGAGCCAAGCTATTCTCCAAAGCACCTGAAGGCAAAACAAGAAGCAATGGATGGAAATTAATCAAGGAGAGAAGCAACCTAGAACTAAGGAGAAATTTCCTGACAGTTAGAACAATTAATCAGTGGAACAACCTGATTTTAAGAAGAGACTGGACAACCATTTGTCCAAAATGGTATAGGGCAGTGGTGGCGAACCTATGGCACCATGCCAGAGGTGGCACTCAGAGCCCTCTTTATGGGCACACGTGCCGTTGCCCCAGCCTTGCCTCTCCCGTGACCCCCTCCTCACCAGCAGCTAACAATAAACTAAGATCCCTGGAGGAAAGTCACCCCTGAGCGTGGCCCACACCCGATCACGCACAGTTGATGCTGTGGGGCGCGGGCAGAGGACATGGCCGCAATGGTGCTGCTAGGCTGCCTAGGCGATCTGCGGCGGGCCCTGAGGGTGGTGAGTGGCCCTGCGGGCAGATGAGGTGGGGGCGGGGCAGGGGGTGGAGCAGGGGCGGGGCCAGTTTTTGGGCACTCAGACCCTAAAAGGTTTGCCATCACTAGTATAGGGTTTCCTGCCTAAGCAGAGGGTTGGACTAGAAGACCTCCAAGGTCCCTTCCAACTTCAAAATTACAATTTCTGCCATACAAAATTTCTGCCCCGAGGCAAACTGAAACCTACAAGGCAACACTGGAACTGCAGAAAGCTCTTCAGCTTCCAGTTGAAGGTTTTCATCATGAAACTAATTATCCAGATCTTGGTACAATGATATGTATTAGTGACAATGGTGCCTATGTCAATAGTGACAATGATGCCTAGACCATTTTTAAAAGGATGCTCGAGACTATATTACAAGGATGCTCAAAAAAAATACCTCAACATGTAGAGGCAATATGTGTGCAATCTAGGCAACATTATCATGTCATCATCTTCATTCTACATCAGCTAGAATCTGTCTTTCATCTGATCTTCCAAACACTATTCCCATAGATCATACATAGTGATTACGACTACAGATTAATTTACATAACTGTCTAAGCAATAAAGTGACATACTTCATTCAAATTTAGTATGTTATTTCAACCCAATTATATGTGATTTATATAACAAACATGATTATATACTTTGGTCTACTATAAGAGGTAAACCATATCTAAATAGGGCAACCCTGTCAAGCTCAGGAAATCAAGAATCCAGGGAGTTCAAATGGATATATAGGTTTATTGCAGGATCCAATCTGAATCAGTCACTGGGACCAGAGGTTTATCTTTTGAGCTTTCGGAATCATGCTGGGCCCATCCTCAGGGAATTTCTTTCTGGCAGACATTCTTTCTGGGCTTGTCATTAAAAGAACTTAATCTGGATGCCTCAATTTATGACCATAGAGACTTACAACCATAAATACGATCACATTGGGTTATAAATCAAGAATTACTTACACACAAACATGAACACACACAAATAAGAATAAGAATCTCTGTACTCTGGAACTTGTACCCTGGTAGAAAAATGAATAATAGATTCTTAACTATGTCAAAAACAATATTCTTGAAAACCTGTTTCCTTAGCAGACCAGGGAAAAGGCTTGTTCAAAAATGCAACTTCAGTTGGACTTCTGGGAAAGAAGTGGCGAACTGAAGACAGCTCCACTAAAAGCAGAGTAGACAAAGAGAGTGGAATGAAGAGCCAGCAATCAGCTCTTTATAATTCTTCTCCAAACAAGAGATATCTTGAGATTGTGTGTTTACTCCTTGTGAAAGAGATTGCAAGACAAACCTGTCTCCAGCAAGTTACAAGCTCTGGGAGATAAGGTGATGAAGATGATGCAACCAATCTGTGCTCAAAACGTGATCAAATATTGGGTTTACATATTTCCTTTTTAAATCACTTTTCGATTTAAAAAACTTGTTAATTACTTTTCAGATATTAGGAACCTCTAGATCATAAGTTCTGTTATAGCACCAGGTTAAGTTCATGTAAATGTAAGTTCTAGGACAATTATTTGAGATAAAGATTGTTAAAAGTAAAAGGAAGGAATACAAAGCTAGTTTATTTGACCAAGGTTAAAATAGGAATGTTATCTCTGTTAACCCTTAATGGACTTTTGCTGACCAGAACTGAACAAGGCTTTAAGGATCTATTTATAGATAAGAGATGAAACATCCACAATTGGGATGTGGGGAATATGTCAACCATATGAAAAACAGCTGCACAACTGGACAGTTGAACCCCCAACAATTGCATGTGTGTAAAGGAGGTTTTATTGAGTCAACTGACACACATCTCTGTGGGCACTCCTGGGCCTAAGACTAACGTCATACTCTAATCTAGTGATTCTTAAACTTGGCATAATCTGGGTTTATTGCGGAGGTAATGGAGCAACTGGCAATTGTGAGTCCTATTTGGGACTGCCCATTGCTGAGACAAGGTGTCTGGGGTTTGGGGGTAGGTGAGAGATACTGACCAAGAAAAGGGGTAATTGGATTAAGCAGTTTAAGAACTACTGGTATAATCTACACATACACGTGCTGAAAAGAGTCAAACTGAATGCAATGATAAAGAGAAGGGGATTTTTTTTTTATAAAATGGCAACTCTAGGGATCTTAGGCTCCCTCACTGTGGTGTGACATAAGGGAGTCAAGCTTTTGCTTGGAGAAAAGGTGCAAGCCAGCATTCCAAAGGAGATGAAAAGATTTATCTGATCAGGTTCAACATCCCTAAAGAACTGGGATCACACAGACAGACTCAGAAGGGAACAATTTGTGAGCCATGCCAGTGGAGGAAGAACAGATGGCACTCTAGCAGGGAAAGGGGCCAATCCTTTGTCTGGTTGCCAGGCTGGGTTGCTTCAGTTGAAAATTTTACATACTGATACACTTCACACTATTTTCATTCAGCCACCCTAATATAATCATTGTTTTGATCAACTTTGGCTTGCCAAAATACTCTGAACGGATTTTCTTAATTGTTCAAAACAGCTTTAAATGCTTGTGTCACAATGGATGAGTGTCTTAATATGAGCAGTGCCTGCATTATCAGAACTCTCATCTCAGCACACCTGAAAAGCTATCATTGGACATGCCTTACATATTTTCAAATCTGCCCAGCTTGCATTCTGCAGTTTCTATTCCAACTAAACATATGAAGTCCCAAATCCTGGTAAATAAGGTGGTTACCAAATATCAAATATGTTAAACCATAGTTTGTTTTAACATACATTGTTGAACAAGACACAGTTGAGTAAATTTCTAAAATGAACTAAAATGTGAGGGGAAATAAATCATACATTAATCTACACACTACATTTATATAATATATAATGGTAGTTAAAATGAATTAAGACTGAAATAAAAAGTTCTGCTTTTTAAAATTTTCTGTTCCCAAGAACATCCAGTAGATAGATGCACATTTATCTCAGTATTGACTAC